GATTTTGAAAGTCTTAAGGAACTTGATGCTCACTGAGCCAATTTAGCGGCGAGTCCCTCTAGAAATAAGAGAGCACTACTTAGATAATTGGGAAGAATTTAAAACAGCTTCCATTTTAGCAGAGAAATGCGACAAGTATGAGGCTTTGCGAAGAGATACGAGGAAGATTAGAAAGCAGAGAGCTGGGTTTAAAGAAACCATTTGAGAAAGATAGAGAGCGGTATGTAAATTCCTAACTGTAGTTATAATCAGAAAAGTAGTAGTCATCAAAGAATTAAATCAGAGAAGCATAGAAAAGTGGAGGCTTCTAAAAAAAAGCAAGTTTTCAATGAAGCAGGTTTCGAGAAACAGCGGAAAATAAGATGTTACCAATGTGGAAAGAACGGACATATCCGACCTAACTGTCCATCGCTGGAAAAGAATAAGGCTAATCTGGTGAATAATCTAGGAACGGAGAGTTTAGGAAAATGTTTTGAGCCGTATTTCAAGAAAGCAGTAATTAATGGGATACAGAAAGAATATCTGAGAGATACAGGAGCTGGTATAGATCTGTGTAATAGTACTTGGATTAATACTAGTGACTTATTAGAGGAAACTGTTTGGGTGAAACAGCCTTTGGACATAGAGTGTAAATGTTTACCTTTGGCGAAAGTCACCATTGAAGGTGATTTTGGTGTGGTCACCACAAAGGCAGCGGTTACTCCGGTAGAGTTAAATAAAGAGTACTATTTGTTAGGGAATAAAACTGCACAGTTGATTGAGGAAATTAGGGAAGGACCGGTTCTCTTGAATGCTGTGAAGACTCGTAGTCAGGCGCATGCGCGCAGGAGTTTAGAGAGAGCGAGTGCAAAAGACTTAGATTCCAAATCGGAAGAAAAGAAAGAGATAGAAAATGAAAGGGCCGTCAATAATGAGCATTCGAAGAAAGGAATTTAACCAGTAATACGGAGGAGGCAATTAAAATTGCAGACATCAGTTTAGAAGAAAGGTCTATCCTTGCGGATGTTTCGCCAGCAGAATTCTTGGAAGCACAAAAACTTGCCCTAGTTTAGCGACCCTGTGAAGAAAGGGGAAAGTGAAAATGAAAAAGAGTTTATAATAGTCAAGGAAAGACTATTCAGAGTGGCAGGTTCTAAAAAAGGGGAAGATAAGCGTCAGCTGTGTGTGCCTCTCGTTTTTAGGAAAGGGATCTTGAAGTTATGCCACGAAGAAATCTCTGGTCATTTAGGAGTAACAAAAACCAAGGAGAGAGTTTTGACACACTATTTCTGGCCTAATTGCTACCAGGAAATTGAAGAATTTGTGAGGACGTGCGATATTTGTCAGCCTGTAGGTCACAATAAGGATTAAAAGAAAGCCCCTATGAAGATTGTGCCTGTTATATCAGAAGTGTTTAGCAGATTAAATATTGATGCAGTAGGACCTCTAATCCCTAGTTCGCGTGAAAATAAATACTTAATTACGTCTATTTGTGTTGCTTCCAAATATCCAGATGCCATTCCTGTACAGAATTTGAACTCTAAATGTGTGATTCAAGCCTTGATACAAATCTTTTCTAGATCAGGTTACCCTAAGGAAATTCAGTGTGATTTGGGTCGACCGTTTACCAGTGAACTTACATCTGAGTTTTTTAGCAAGTTCGGAATTAAGGTGTATCATTCTTCTGTGTGTCATCCTCAAAGCAATTCTGTTGAAAGGTTGCATTGAGAGCACAGGTTTAGTCCCTGCGAGTTAGTACATGGAAAAAATTTGAGAATGCCTCAAACGATTGTGTATGAAAACTGGCTAGAGGAAGAAAGTTCAGACCCCACTGTGGTCGAGTATGTTCTAGACTTAATAAACAGATTAAAGAAGTGTCAGGAGCTGGCAGTAGAAGAGGATGAAAGAGTGTCAGAGTAAAAGGAAACTCTGGTATGATCGCAACGCTGTTACGAGAAGGTTTAAGGTCGGAGATTTCGTGCTTGTTTTAGCCACGTCTAAACCACACAAAATGGCTCTGAACTGGATAGAGCCAGGTAAAGTAACTAGTGTGATTTCCGAAACCAATTATACGGTAGAAATTCCGGGTAAGCGTAGCAGTGACACCATTTATCATGTAAATTTGATGAAACTTTATTATCAGAACCCCGAGTTTGTGAATCTTGTGATGGAGGAGGTCATGGAAGATATTGAGGGAGAAGTGGATATTCCTTATCCCTTGGCTGATCCAACTCAGGTAGATTTTTGGAAAATAGTTGGAGATAGTAAGCTAGAAGAAAGTGTGTGTGTATTTAATTATGGCAAAGCTCACTAGGGCTATCTGCCTAAGGGGAGGGATGCCTTCGTGGAGGACTTTCTAAGGGAAACTGGCTCGTATACACGTTACACATGGGGAAAACCACGAAAACACCCATGCAGCCAGCCCGTTCGCGAGATTCGAACCTCGGACGGAACTACCAGTGTTCAGCGACTTTACCGCTCGGCCGCTGGTGGGCCAAGCTAGAAAAAAAGAGCTTCAGCAGAGGAAATAGGAAAATTCCAAGAAGTTATAAGGAAGTATGGAGTGGTGTTTTCGTCCGACCCCGGCTGTACGTTTTTGGTCGAAATGGATATTAAATTGTTGGATGAGACTCCGGTTAGAGTCAGGCCTTACCGAATGTCGGCGAGACAAACCGACATCCTAAAAGAGAAAATTAGGCGGTTGCTTGATTTAGGAGTCATAGAAGTCGGGCAATCTGATCATGCTTCGCCTATGATCTTAGTAGAGGTCCCAGGTAAAAATCCTCGTCCTTGTATAGACTACAGAAAATTAAAATTAAATTCAAAAACTATGACCGAATTATTCCCTCTTCCCAATATTGGAGAAGTGGTAGAAAAAGTCAGCGCAGCTACATTTATCACAATCATGGATCTAACCAAAGGATACTTCCAGATACCACTCACAGAACATGCACGAAGGTATGCCACATTTGTGACACCTTTTGGATCTTTCATCCCGAAGAAAATGATGTTTGGGCTTTGAAATGCGCCCTTTTTATTTTTGTAAATTGATCGCTCAAGTTTTAGGAGGCTGGACAATTTTGTTCTACCGTATATTGACGACATCGCAGTCTTTTCGCCGACTTGGAACAGGCATATGAAGGATTTGTATGTGGTTTTAGGTCGCCTTCAAGAGGCTAAATTGACTGTTAAGCCCTCGAAATGCAAATTCGCACAAGACCATGTGAAATTTCTGGGTCATGAAGTAGGGTCTGGGAAAATGTCGCTTAGTGAGGCCAAGATTCAAGCAATCAGAGATTTTCCGATCCCCAATACTAAAACACAGATACGTAGCTACCTTGGTACTGTGGGTTACTATGCAAGGTACATAAAAGACTGCGCCAGTATTGAGGCACCTTTGACAGACACTTTGAAAGGGAAAAACAAAAAAGAAACAGTGATTTGGACAAAAGAGTGCGACGAGGCTTTCAATAAACTGAAGACCAAACTAGTAAAAAGTCCGGTTTTATTTGCACCAGATTATTCTAAAGAATTTATTGTGCAAACAGATGCCAGCTTATATGGTGCGGGTATTGTGTTGTCTCAAATTCAGGATTGGGAGGAACACCCTATACTGTATCTTAGCAAAATGTTTACTAAAGCGGAGCGAAATTATAGCACCATTGAAAGAGAACTAGCGGCCATTATTTATAGACTGAAGAAACTAAGTCATTACTTAGACGGACAGAAATTCAAGATCCAGACGGATCATAATCCGTTGACTTTTTTAAACAAAATGATGGGATCAAATTCTCGTTTGACTCGCTGGGCATTGTGTCTCCAACAGTACAACTTTGAAATTGTTCATAGGCCAGGCAAATTACACGGTAATGCAGATGGCTTGAGTCGTGCCCTAGTCTAGTGACTGAATATCACTAGTGGATACAAAGTAAGGTAAAAAGTAATGAAAATGGGTGAAAATGATTTTTATGGGGTTTTGGAATTATATTTGTGTAGATTCAAAATTGTTTTACATTGTGTGTTAAATTTTCAAAAAAATTGTTAGAATTAAATGTTTTATCTTAAGTATTAGCATTGTGTAAATTTTGAGGAATATGCTTTGTATAAGGCACACATTAGGAGTAGTTTAAATTATTTTTGTTGTATTTGTGCGGTTATGTTATCTAAAAATAAGTGCAGGGTAATGTAACTGGCTTCTCTATTATCACTTAAATGGTTACCACTTGTGTTTTGAAAGCAGTGAAATGTATTTAGAATTTTTCCTTCCATAGTCAAGAAAAATTTCTTTATGAGGGGAGGAGTTGTGATAAGGTTACATAAAAGGAGAAGAGACTGAAGATTTATATGGACAAGGATGTCTCGTGAGCATAAGCTGAAAATTATTATTTTTTTTAACTTACAAATACGTTTTCAATAGTTATTAAAATAGTCTTTATTAAAATAATTAAAATCGTTGGCAATGTTAAAAATGCAAGCTCGAGAGCCACGAATTGCTCTCGCACGTAAAATGTATAGAATTTGATTTTTAAAAATAGTAAGTTTCTCTCTTGTCGAATTGTATGTAGCCATTTTTTTGCGTTCAATAAATTTTTATGCTGTGCTTTGTTTTGAACCTGATGTCACAACCCAGGGTTTGCATAGCGGTTTCGGCCACTACACCACAACCCATTTAGTTACAATATAGATGCTGTTGCTATGGTAGCAACTGGCGATGACAGAATTGTGGCTTACGATGAAGCAATAACAAACAATTTTGTCATATGAAATCTGTCATGAAAAGATTACTGATTATGATACACATCTAAATTCTTGAAAACTAGTTTTCCTTAAACTGAATATTAATTTTAGATGTGATGCCAATGTTCCTTTAATCCTCTTGACACTTAAGCATGGAACCGACAAAATTTTATATCGTCTCATGTAGAGCAAATTTTAGTATGCTTTTCAACTTTTAAAACTCTATACATGTGATATTTTCAAATTATATTTTCTCTACGGTTTAATAAAAATAAATACTTCACTTGAATAATCTAAGGAATGCGTGATTTCATGTGCAATAATATGACCAAAGCCTCCAAAATTCAGGTACCTGAAATAAATAGAAAAATCAGTACTTAAAATCACAGGAAGATGATGGTTTGGGCAAAATTCAAGCTACATATATGTGAGATGTAATTTAACTTACTGCGGCCAATCCTTGTTAAAAAATGGACTTTGTAAATACCCTGCGGAAAGTTCTATAAAAAGAATTCGTAAGAAATGAGAAATTAAAATTAAAAGTAAGTAAATATAATTTCGTTTCAACGTTACTTACATATAGTTATACAGGAATACTTATGTAGTGTTACGGATTTGGCATTTAAAAAGCTAATGTTAGTTGAATTATAAATTAAATTCTTTTATTCCCTCTTCTATTTAAATACCAAATCCGTAACAATATGAATATCTGAAAACGAATATAGGTTTTCGAGTTCTAAAAGAATTAGTTGTATTTAGTAAACTTTCATAGTCATTATAAAAAGGTATAACACAAAATGTTTGACTCTCATGTCACACAGACATTATTAATTTTGCGATACAACCAGATGCTCTACTAAACCAGAATTCAGGATTTCAATTCCACAAACATCACAAAGAATAAGACTTTTTTATAAAACGAAATCAAGATATTTTGACTCGAATCTGTTGCGACATAAGCTATACCGGTGTCAAAGCGTTTCATAGAATAAGGATTGCGCATTGCAACAAATGTTCGTAAACTTCGAGAACACTGCACTTCTAAGATACTCTCTGAGTTTAGTATTAGAAATATTAATTATGGCTCTCATGTTATTATCAAGGGGACTGCGAGAGTTACTCCTAAATTGAGTGATGCCAAATGGCACAGACTCCCTGCATTTCAATAATAAAAAATCAGGAACAATTAGACTAAGATTTATGTTTAATACATATAGGTAAAAGTTAGCTATAAAATAAGAAACTTTTAAATAAAGATGGAATTATTCATTTTAAGTTTTGGATAAAAGTGTATTTCTCAATAGGTAACAAATATAGAACAAAATGATTTTTATAACGCTGAATGCATTATGAAAACTTTCGAAAATTTTGAAATATTAGTGCTCAACTATGCAAAACATTTTGTTGTTAATGACACATTAAACGAAAGTGAATCAATTAAAATTATTAAATATAAAAGAATTTAGTCAAAGATACTGTATGTTAACTATATGTTAAGCACTATATAGTATTTGATATTTCATGAATTTTTGAGTAAATGCGTTTTAATCATTCTTTTGTTAACATTCTTAAATTTATCCAAAATATGATTTTAATTGGCACTTAAATGGGCTTGAAATCTTTCATATTCACCAAAATCCGCCAAATAGAACATTGTATTGTCATTAGAGTTTTACAGGCTGCAGACGTGAAAAATGTGCAAAAGTCCTTGCAGGATTTGATGTTTCCAGTTATACTACGAAGGCATGCAGAAAGCAAGGAGAAAATCCCTTATAATATAAATTCTAATTCAATATAAACGTATAAATTCTAATGAAGGCTTTTAAAATACTTATTTATGTCTTTTATTTCCGTTTTTTCTCCAAATGTTACAATTACGCTTACCGTTTCCTTCTCTATTATTTATTGACCTTCTACTCTCGCATTTTTGTTCTATGAATTGGAATATATTTATGTACGATTCTCTCCTAGAAACTCATTTCACTTTAAGCAGTACCAAAAACTTTATATATATCCACTCTTGTAGCATCTATAAATAATCTGAAAAAATATATATCACCAATATTGAAAATTTCTTTCTGTTGGCTTCTCTAACAAAACTTTGATAGAGATGATTAAAACGCCAGCGTTTCCAAATAAATATTTCTGAGATTAATTGGTTAATAATAAGGAATTAAAAAAGAAAATGCATTCACCTATACTGTTATTAGTCCAGTGATAAACGCCATCTACAGAAAGTGCTTTTGGGAATTTTGTCCATCTGCAAGTAAATACAATGTTACATACTAAACGTTTTACTTCTTATCATGAAACGTATTATTTTACAAAACCTGCTTTCAGTTTAAGAGTAAAAGATTAATAATTGTTACAAAATGTATGTAATATTTAAATATAGCAAGTCATTATTTATAGCTCAAGTAAGCTAACAGACAGGTAAACATACACATATAATGCTTAAGTCTTTATGCACTATTTACCTTTTAAGCTTTAGTACTTTATTCTAGAAAGCAGCTAAGTAGAAGTAGATTCTACTAACACGAAGCAGATTTGTGCACTGTCAGTTCAGAAGTTTCCTGCGCCTCTAGCTGACAGTTGTAAACACATTTGAATTCCTAGCTCATTAATGCATAATTTAGATATTTTTCACTGGAAACTATAGTAGTTATAGTTTACAGTTAAAAAGTCTTTCGGTATTCTCTATTCATATGGAAAGATTTCTAATAGTCATCAAGCATTATCACAAATAATAACAAATCTGATGTGTGAAATGACTCCCTTGTACTGAATATTAAATTATATGCATTTTTCTTGCATTTCATTTAAACTTATTGGGTTGAATTAAATCTACTTCGTCGATAACGCATAAACTACAATAGAATAAACACACTCTTTTAAAATTCATTATATTTGTTTACCATAGCGATACTCTGCCCTAGGTTCACTTAACAGCGCTACATTTCAATCATTTTTTAACTCAGGATGCACAAAATTTATATCATCTTAAGAATTATCGTTGCCACATGTTCTATTCAAATACTATAATAAATCTAACACGATGTATAGAATAAATTAAACAAAGAACAACAACAAGAAACAGTTTTTCACAGACGATTCAGTATTTCTCATTCAATTAACTCAGTTCTCACTTCGCGATAAGGCAAAAATACATAAAAACTCAAAATGTCTGTATTAAAAATTACGAAGTAAATCTTAAACACATATTTTCTCGAATAAATTCCAGAATGGATTAAGCATGATTTAACTGGAAAGAATAAAAAGGCGTTATCTTTCTTATTGCGAAGCTTACTTTCTCTAGATTGGCAACAAATCTACTATTCTCTTGTTTCAAATGTAAACAAGCAATCGTCGACATGTCAAAAATTATTAGGCTTAGCGGCACTTAAACAACTTTTAAATTGTTGATAATTCTAAAACTATTGCATACATATTTACTAAAGGCATAAAAACCTTATCCGGAAGATAAGAACAGCATAATTCAATCATTTTTAAAGCAACAAATGCATAATTTACAAACATATAAGAATAAAGAAACTGGAATCACTGAGCCGAGTAACAGAGTGGACATATATGTACATATATTTATATACTTTTGGTGCGGCCGATTTCAACCAAAATACGAGGTGCACATCTACATGATATAGCAGTCCTATATACAAAATTTCAACGTTCTGAGAATACTCCTTTTTGAGTTATGCGAGATACGTACGTACGTACGTACGTACGCACAGACACCACGAAAAATTCTCTTCGGAAATCATTTTAAATTAGTTTTAGAATTTTTTGGGGGAAAAAGAGCCATTTATTCTCTCCTTACGTACAGATGTCAAGCAAAACCATCATTATTGCATTCGATAGCGGTGAAAATGGATATTTGCGTTGAAATATGATGCCTGAAACTTTTTGCGATTACAACACTTCCCTTTTACTTCGTACAAGGAAGTGAAAAGGAAGTAGCTGAATGTCGGTAATTTGGCAAATCAAATGTCCATAACTGAAGCACTCCGAAAAGGCGAGGAAAAATCTATTATGAAACGTATTTACTGATAGGATCATTTAAATTTATTTGGGACTTTCTATTTGCAAATAAATTTATAATCAGTTTCCCAAGTTTTATCAATAACTTCAATTCATGTTATCAAGGCAGTATTTTGGGAGCACGTAAATGGGATCCATTAAGCGCAATAGTATTCTAATTTTCTTTTTTCTTTGTGGTGTTGCGTGGCTCCAACTTGCCCGCAACAATAGCAGTGACTGCTATGAACTGGAAAGTACACAAACTCTTAAGAAGGGTTTAACTCCCTTTTTATTCCACTTTAGAAGTTACAGATGCGTGCACTTGACGCTCACAAACTACGCCGACCCGGCGGTTAAATAAAAATAAGAAAGTACAACTAAAAATGAATAATAACAAGTCACTACCTACGAGGCTCTCTAAACGTGACTAACTTAACCGCGTTCTAAGATACAGCTGAGATTTCAGCAAACTTTCTGAATAAAAAGTTGAAAGATTCAACTAACTGCCGAAGCAAGCACACAGGCCGAAACGCGGGGTTCTTCAATTTCTACCTAGCAACCTTCACGCTCGTGAATCAAGAAAGCACACTTACGAACTCGTTTCCCTTCTATTTAACTCAAAAATACTTCCGCTGAAAATTTGAATACTTTGCGCGTTCTACTAAAATTTACATACTCTGGCATTGGCAATTCCAGGGAAAAGTAGAGGCTTGACAGGAAAGATAGCTTAAACTTAAAATAAATATAAGCCCTACATCTTGATTACCGTTCAATGTATTATTCCAATATGTGTAGAATAAATCCTGTAAATTTTGTCATCAATCTTGTAAATCTCTTGAATTTAAAAATGTTTTAAAACCGCCATCTCAGTTACTTTCAGTCAGAGATTTCGAACAATCTTGAAAGATAGATAACATAGCGTATTTTGTTAAAATGCTAGTAAATATAAGCCCTACATCTTGATTACCGTTCAATGTATTATTCCAATATGTGTAGAATAAATCCTGTAAATTTTGTCATCAATCTTGTAAATCTCTTGAATTTAAAAATGTTTTCAAACCGCCGAACAATTTTTCAAGATTGTTCGAAATCTTTGACTGATTTAAAAAAAATCAGTCAAAGATTTCGAACAATCTTGAAAGATAGATAACATAGCGTATTTTGTTAAAATGCTAGTAAGAAGGAACAATTAGTTTTTCTGTATACTGAGGAAATCATGTTCTCTATATTGCTTATTCTAATTATAATGTAGGCTGAAACTGGATGAGTTAGAAAATATTTAACGCTGTTCCAGATTATTAGATTTCGTTGCAAAAATATTATATACTAGGTTGGGAATTGAGTTATCCATATAACACTGAAATTCAAGCTCTTCTTTGTTTTATGCGTAAATGGATTTCGTTGCCAGAAATGAATAACTAAATTAATTTTGTTACAGTATGCAGTCGTTAGCTTCATACAAGCTGTGATACCACGCAACAAGTTTTTCAAAAAAAATATATGACAAATCAGTAAGACTTTATTAAAACTGAAAATTTTCAGATTTCTTTCGGTATGTAAAATAAAATAAAATAACACCATTTTTAATTCCTTGTACGAAGTAAAAAGAAAGTATTGTAACCGCGAAAAGTTTCAAGCAGCATATTTCAACGAAAATATCCATTTTGACTGCTACCGAATGCAATTTAACACTGTTTTTGCGTGACATCTATACGTAAGGATAGAATAAAAGACTCTTTTCCACCAAAAAAGTTATAAAACTGCTTTAAAATGAATTCTGAACAGAATTTTTCATGGCGTGTGTCTGTACGAACGTATGTACGTACGTACGTATCTCACATAACTCAAAAATGTGTAGCCTCAGAACGTTGAAATTTTGTATATAGGACTGCTATATCATGTAGATGTGCACCTCTTATTTTGGTTGAAATCGGCCGCACCAAACGTATATAAATATATTTATATATATATATATATATATATCCACTTTGTTACCCGGCTCAGTGATCTCAGTTTCTTTACTCTTATATGTTTGTAAATTGTACATTTTTTGCTTTAAAAATGATTTAATAATGCTGTTCTTATCTTCTGGTTAAGCTTTTTATGCCTTTAATAAATCTGTATGCAATATTTTTAGAATTATCAACAATTTTAAAGTTTTTTACGTGCCACTAACCCTAATAATTTTTTGGATGACGGCCATTGATTGTTTACATTTGAAACAGAAAACTAGTGGATTTGTTGTCAATCTAGAGAAGCTTAGCTTTGCAACAACAAAGATAACGCCTTCGTTTATTATTGCCAATTAAATCATGCTTAATTCTTTCTGGAATTTTTTCGAGGAAATAAGTGTTTAAGATTTACTTCGTAATTTTTAATAGAGATATTTTGAGTTTTTATGTATTTTTGCCTTGTCGCAAAGTGAGAACTTAATTAATTGAATGAGAAATACTCAATCGTCTGTGAAAAATTGTTTCTTTTTTGTTTTGGTTCCTTAATTTCTTTTGTACATCGTTCTAGCTTTATTACAGTATTTGAATAGAACATGTGGCAACGATTAGATAATTCTTTAAATGATATAAATTTTGTGCATTCTGAGTTATAATATGAACGAAATATAATACTGTTAAGTGAACCTAGCGACAGAGTGTCGCTATGGTTAACAAATAGTGTGAATTTTAAAGAATGCATTTATTCATTTGTCGTTTATGCGCTGTCGGCGAAGTAGATTTAATTCAATTCAATAAGTTTAAATGAAATGTAAGAAAAATTGCGTATAATTTAATATTCCGTACAAGGAAGTCATGTGGTGTACACATCAGATTTTTTTATTTTAAGGAAACAGATGCCGATACAATCAAAATTTTATGATATTTAAAATTGTAATAGGAATTTAATATCAAGTAATGCTTTCTGATTATAAGTTTTTTGTAGCTAATTGAACATAATTACGCAGTTATCAGTAAATATATTACGTACTCGTTTTTTATCACAGGCTTCCGAAGAAGAGAAAAAAAGTAGTCAGTTGACCATTTGCGGGCTTTCAATTCCTTGTCAAGGTAACTTCCTTCACTAAATGTTAACTATAAAAAAAAAAAAAAGAATTAAAGAATGGATAAAGATCTTTCTTAAATTAAGTAAACAAATTAGGGAAAATGTTAAGAAATATTCAAATATTTACATTCTTGTACAGTTCTAAGAGAAAACAATCATCCAGAAGCTCTTTCGGATATCCAATGTGATATGTAGTTGTATTGACCTACAAAGAAATCTAATCATTATTTTTCCTAAGCCATTTGTGGGCATATGTTACCGAATATCTTATAGGTAATTTCACTGCACTATATAAAACTCACAATTAGTGTCATATTCCTCAGATCTATTCATAACATAACGATTAATCACTCGAAATTGAATACGAATTTTAACAACCGTTACAAAATTTAGATGCAGATTATAATTTTCTTTTGGCAATTTCATCACTTTAAAAATACAGTTAAGCATTACTAAATAATATTTTTAACACATATAAAAACATTGCGTGCTATTCCAGAAGTACTATTTTCTCATAAACAGCAAATTTCACAAAATAGACACTACATGTTTGTTAAATAATTAAAAATTAATTAATCAAATAATAACTAAATAACTTATTTTTTAATTTAATTACTTAATTAATTAAAAATAAGTTGTCTGAAAGCCTTAATCATATTTTGCAAATTTTTTTCCTCAAAATAATTTTATTTCAGTTAATTTAGATTTCAGAATTCAATTTAAAATAAGGCTTTTCTGCTTCAGGATAAAATCTTATATATGACAGGACAAAGAGAAAAAATATTATGTGTGCGGCGTGGACGCGTTCAGCTTATTATTGTTTACGTTTATAGAGCATTAGGTGTTGCCTTATGTATTTACATTCGCTGTACTGTTTATTTTTAGGATGTAAATTGAAGAAGATATCCGGGTGATGAAGATATCTGAATTCGTTCCGGATTGCTTAGCCTATAAAATTTTTTGCTGCTCGGGTATAGTAAAAATGGTTAAAAATTACACTATATATATATATATGATGAAAACCTGCTGAACCAACGCACATGCGACAAAAGCCCGCAAAAATAACCACATTGTGTAATCACTCCCCATGCAACAAATGACCACATCCGCATAAACGCCCGCAGATAAAAGTTCACGTTGATAAAAAGCCCTCGTAAATTAAAGCCCCAATGAATAAAAGAGCTTATGGTTTTCATGGACGTAAAATCCATTGATCATAATTATAAGAAATAGGGCACTTGATGTGTAAAACACTTGTCTGTATATTTGTATTCAACATTTTGTTGGCATATTTTATTAAGTCAAAAAGGATATTTTCTGCCTTCTGATTAAGTGGTTAACTATTATGTTTCGATGGTGAAACTAAAAATTTATTTTATTTCTTTATTATTTTCATTTATTTATTTATTTATTGCGTCTGTGAAATGAAAAATATTATTACAAAGTTCCTCGAAAGCTATTTTTAATGTGATGTAGCTAGAAATGTATGTAATATTAAGAAATGGGAGAGATGCAACTTTATCAAAAAGGCGGAATAAGTTATATTCCGTTATAATTATATAATATATTATATATAATTATAACGAAATATTTTTAAGCCTCTTTTAGTACTAGAACTACAATGTAAAGCTGTATCCTCGAGGACTTGGATACGTTAGCTAAAAAACGCATTCCATTTTCTTAATTGTTTTCGTTTATAAATCAAATTAGACACATCTGTGTCAAAAATATATGAAAGAAATAATTGAATCTTTATTCGTGAGACTTCCTTTCTTTTTAATGAGGCAATTTTTACACCTCTTATTTTTATTTCATTTCTCATGCATTCATTGCGACATTGTAGAGAAAGTGTTAGTGTGAAAGCTTTCATTTGCCAGTGTACGTCCAGCATGTGGAGTTTGAAATTTATCTTTGAAATTATTATGCCGAAAGAAGTAGTTTCCAAAAGCGTGTACATGCAAGCATCTTAAAGCCCAAGGCATTGAGGCATTAATTAAAAGCACATAAATCGCGATATAAAATATCAGGGGCATTTTGTCCTTAAAATTAAGAAAATACCTCTTTCTCATGAAAGTTTAAGGAAATTTCGGCTTTCATAATGAAAAACCGCTTGCTAATCAGATGATTTCAATGGCAATTCTCCCTTCATGGAAACTCACAACTAATAGCGTTTGCCACCTTTATTCCTGCATCTTACGAATGACTGCCGTAAGAAAATTAGTTGAGAATTTTAGCTTTTTTAGCCAGCACTGGATTTCTTTTTTCTAGGCTCTCAACCAGCTTTCATTGAAGCTTGAGGTAAACGATTATTCATTCTTTCGAATAACTTTTTGAAACGTGAAACGTCATTTGAAACGTGTTTTTTAAATTATTAAGTATCAGAAATCGATATATCGTTTATTGAAATAGTTGTTGATTAAGTAATACAATAAAAAACAGAATTCGCTGTAATAATATAATCCATAAAAAGCGCGAAATGTTTTACCTAAACAGCTTTTTCAGCGTGTATTTAAATTTCGAAGAATATTTTATGATATTAGTTATTGAAAATATTTAACATTAAAAAATTGTGAAGCAACGCAATATTTCTTAAACGAAGCAAACAGACTCCTTGGATTTCACTAAATTTACATGAAATTTCTAAAAGGAATTTCATATTCAAAACAGATACTTAAACAGCAATGAATATGTTATTGAAGTATAAAAAATCACTATTTTACTATTTTTAATTTCTTTTATGATATCTATACGGATACTAGTTGTTTTGATCTCAAAGAGTTGTTAAAACTGCTGGTAGTTCTAGTTCAACATTACATGCAGTCTGAAATGGCATACCCAGACCGTAATAGACCCAGATGTTTAGTTTAATGGCACACGATTATTTCTTTATAATATAAGGTTCCATCAGTGTTTAAGACCGCTAAGCGTTGGTAGTTCGACGATCTTCAGATTGAGCCAGGCAAACGAGTTGGCTTGCATGACCCTTATGATACTCGAATAAAAGCCAGTCTTCTTAGAAAGCCCTCTGTGAAGGCATACGCCCTAAGGTGCCATTTGCCCAAATTTAAGTAAATAAAGGAATAAAATAATATTTAATAATATTTAAATAAATTAATATTTATACTTTAATTACACTCGCACGTTTCTCCTGATGTAAAATTTAACTTTCAACATAATACATATTTATCACTGTTTTATCTGTTTTATATCAGTAGCTGGGAAGGTTTATAATTTTAAACCAAAAATAAGCGATGTAATGAAATATTTATTATTCTAACAGATAGCACGATTTTCAATATATCCAAAATTTACTCAAATCACATTCCAACTGTTCGAGAAATTGAAATGATACATTTAGCTAACAGTATGCTAAGAAAATAGGTTCCTATACCAAATTTTCAAAACTTTAAAATATATATATAATTGGAAAAGAAATTTAATGCATAAAAAATAATCATTTTTAAATTCCTATAAATTTCCAAATAATTCAATGTCCTAAAAGATCATTGTCTAAGAAAAATTGAAAGTTTATCCTTTTCATAAAATTAGAATAAAAAGAGTGTTACATTCTTTAAAAAAAAAGAGAAATTTTATTCTTTATGAAATTTACCTCAAGTTTAAAAGTCAATATCGTAATTTAATTTTTTTTTCATTGGGTATAAAATATTATACTGGTAATACCAGATGCGTTTGTTAATTATAAGTGAAGATGAGTGTGCGAATAGTTCTAATTTAGAGGGACTTTTGTAAAAGCAAAATTCTTAAATTTCAGAAATGCAATTTTGACAATACTACTAAGAGTTCTCTTATAAATTATTATCCTCGAATTTTATCCTCAAAGATACAACTTTCTATCATAGCTCAAGACTTAAAAGGAGCTTAAATTCATTCTTTTTTAACTATGAAAATAATTTATTCCGCTTTTTGATCAAATAACTTTCCACTATTTTTTTAAATATTGAAATATATGTATAGTCCTAGATATAATGTTAAAAAAACTTTCAAGGAACTTCACTATCATATTTTTAATTTTTACATACACAAAATAAATAAAAACAATAAATAAATAAAATTTTCAAAGTCATCAACGAAACATTATCAATAACTGTTTAATGAGAAAGCAGAAAAGCTCGTTTTCGATCAAATAAAACAAATAAAATAAGTAATAATAAAATTTATATGCAGACATAATTTTGAGACATCAGAAACTCCATTTATTGCACAGAATTATAGATATATTTTATATTGACAAAAATCATAAGTGCTCTTATTCATATGGACTGTTATTAGCGTGGCCTTTTAATAATGTCTGTTTTTATGTGTGTGGGCTCTTATGTATGTTCGCTTTTATCCGTGTGAGTATTTGTAGCTTAGGCAATTGTCACAGTGTGGTTATTTACGTGGCCTTTTGTATCGTGAGCTTTCGTCTAGTGGGTTTTAATTTGGTCACCCAAAAATATTAACCCAGTAGAAGCTGAGAATGCCAACTATTTAAAGTAAAGTTAAGGATGGCAATTAAAGTATTTTAAATGTAACCCTAAGTTTAAATTTTTTATTTTGGAAAGCAGTTAAGAAGTTATTTTTATGTATTTAAAATTATGAATTTTAAGATTCTAGTAATACAATCAATATGATATTATAAGCTCTTTTTGTTTAGAATTATTATAATCCTAATTTTATCATCTACATTCTGAGAACTGTTATGATGTTAGTTTTAAGGCATTATGAGGTGAATGAGCTTGAAGGCATGAGTTAATTATCGTGTACTTTAGTTATTACTTGTTGCTCAGCCATTTTTGCAGCGTTAGTAGTCATGTTAGTATCTTGGCAGAGTTTCACGAGTTTGCTTATTCGATTCGTTAGAGAATCAGGTGTTTAATAATTTCTAATACTATATTAAACATTATTAGGGGGAAATGTCATCTGAATTTTGAAAACTTTTCAACATGTCAATTCTAATGATTAAATTTCTCTCTACTTTATTGCACCTTAAAGGTGTTCATTTAATAATCCCATTTAAATCGGAAAGCAATTTAAATAATTTTTAAAATTATGCAAAGAAGATGCTGTAAAATGTAGACAACCTGGTGTTCATTTTACAGCATGAGGTTCAAAATTTTGTTCAATGGAGCAAACTTTTGTTGCTTAACAAATGTAGAAAATTTACTGCAATTTTTTTATTTACCTCAATATTTAATAAATAAAACTAAATAATTGCCTTCACTATGAGACATTATATGTATGGTCTTTAGAACTTTGTTTGTAATTACATTAATATTGTAAATATTTACAGAAAAAGGTGTATGTATTTCCTTAAAAATTATATGTATATTTGTATAAAATAATTATATGATCAAACACAGGTCCTTCTTCTTCTGGGACAAAAACGTCTTTGCTTTTGAAGAAATGGGAGGTGTGTCTGATCGCCGTAGATATTGCTAGTTCCTTTCATTCAAAATCTATGCCAAATTAAATTTGTTTTCTTAACTAATCTTAAATATTATAGCTGCATATTTCTCTTTTAATTTGATATATAAGTGATATTGACCAAATAAATTAACAACTTCAAAGTGTTTCGAATGCTATGTTTTCCCAACAGATTTAGGATTTTAGTTTTAAAATCGTTAAACATTTTATTTCATTTCTTCATATTTAAATACTTTATAATGCTTACAATAAGCCTTAAAACGACAGCAAAATCTATGAATATTGTTTTATTCTTATTATAGAAAGCATTTTGGACACATGGATAAAATTTACTGAACTTCTTAAAATATGCAACTTCTAAAAATTCGTGCAGCAAAGGATTATGAGTGAGATATTCAAGACACATGAATTTTCAGTAAGCTCAGTTTACCTTACACTTAAAAACCACCACACGGTCCAAGTGAATGTGTTTCGGATGATTGGAGTTTCAATTTATATTAGTACAGTACTTATATTTTACATTATTAAAGATTACTAATATTTTAGTTCATTACTTCAATCAATGAAATTTATAAATTAAAGGATAGTTATTTTATACCCATTTGAAAGAGAATAGTCAATTCCTTATTGAACAAAATTCATTCTTTGTGTAGAAAATTACTTATAGATCTTAAATCTCGCGCAATCCAGCAATTGATAGGTCATGTCGATAATAAATTATAACATAACGAAACACAGCGCCACTAAAATTTGAAAAATTCAGTTGTACACGTCTCTGTCGCCAAGAGAATAAAATGCTGTGCATAATGCAGATTTTGAGCATAGTTTTCTAGTACATAAAATTTATTATTTCTTGAAGTACCTAAAAATAAATAAATCTATAAATAAAATGAAACCTTATTTTGTAAATATCCATCATGTTCTCTGAGCCAGTGTGCCTCAGTTATACCATTTAAGAATCTTCGTTTAATATATCTAGCGATCTCCAGTGCCTGGAAGTAAAAAGGGAAACAAGTATATTAGTAATTAAATCAAAGCTGAAAATAATCTATTTCTTTACTTGTTTCTACACTTAAAGCATTTCCATAAACATATTAAGTAAATGATCTAAATACCTTAAATAATGGGAAGAAATATGTTGTAGTGTCTCGTGTCCTCGAGTAATAAATATGTTTCAGGAATTTTGCAGATAATTCCGAACGACTCATTAAAATAAAATATTCATTTAACATGCACAAAAACATTTAATTGATAATCTTTCCATTATATAATACAAACAACAATAAAGAGCACTAAATTCATATACTGTAATATAAATTAATACATTAAACACGATACAATTATATTATGTTTTCCTTCTCTGCATGTTTCTCTTATGACATTTTGGCCTAATCTGCAAAAGACTAGCTATAAATGATAAAATTGAATTCTTTGCATTATCGTATAGCATAGTGTACAATATTTCAAAGGTGATATGAAAAGCATAATCAACTTTTCCCTTTGTTAATAATGTCCAAGCTTAAGCAGTATTATAGGCTTATTATTTAACATGCACTCTTACTTTTACTTTCGCCAGCTCTCACCAGGATAAATATTAGCTAAGTGTATATAACAGAACAGTTATTGACAGCTAAAGAAAGAGCTTTGGCAGCGATGCTGACCTTTGTGATATGTTCTGATTCGGCTCTGGGAATAACTTGACACCGACATTAACATTTTCCTAGCCGATTTTGCTCGTTCTTGTAGAATCTTGAGTTTCATATCAACTTGACTTGTGAATGTTCAAGAGTTAATTATTTAAATTTTATTTTTATAGTTTTGTGTTAGCTTGCATTATTAAGTTTAAAATTTTAATAAAATGTTTACTTTCGCTGAGTGCGAGTTGTTTTATTAGAAGAGGCAAAAGTCGCCTGACTGTCTCACAAGGAAGCAAGTTTAGACGAGCAAGTAACTGGATTCCCTAGGCTAAAGCCCAACATGAAAAAGGATGTATTTTGTTTCAGCTAATTTTAGCTTGACCTCTGCAGAATTACGAGCTGGTAAAACGTCTACAAACTTCCTGGAAATGTTTTGTTACACTATAGATTTCATGTTAGCTTCAATGAGGCCAACTGTGAGCTTTTATGGCAATTTTCATGTTGTGACATTTGTTGAAGGCTTCAAAAATAATTTCTCGTTGAATCCAGTGGGCGAGCAATAGAAAGAGTCATTGCAACTTCCATTCTGAAAGGAGAAGCCTTGAATTGGTTATTAGTACCTTTCAAAGGCGGGAATTGGTTATTAGGTGAACCCGGCAGTGAAACTTATGAAGTTAGTATTTAAGAATACCCATGGAAAAGCATCCGCAGCTGTGAAAGACAGTGTTCAAATGGCATCAAAACTATTCGGAATATTATAGAAGAGGAAGGTAAGAGTTAACAACATTTATATTCTAAAAGATAAGATTGTCAAGGTGTTCTACGGAAGTAAACATCATGTTGCAGTGACACAGTTGATAAAAGAAGTCTTTCACGGAAATTTAGAGGTAGATAGAATCATCTAAAATAGAAAATGATGTTGAACTACAGCGATGTCCGTCACTCTAAAATAAGGCAAATCCCTTCAAATTCATTTGAATACCTGTTAATTAAAAGTGTGGAATTGTTTCACAAATATGTTGTGTAAAATGGAATTGTATAAGTAGTATTCGCGGGTAACATTTTAAGAAGTGCTTAAAGAAGAAGGTAAAAACATTATAATTTTTTATATAGTCAAAAATTTGCAGACGAATCTGAAAATAGATTCGTATATTTTTTTAATTCGTATATTTTTCGTGCATTTTCGCAGGCACGCGAAATGATTTTCAAGAGAAATCTGTGCAACTGCAAATGAGTGATGCGGAAGCATAAAAACGAGCCACTAACGCTGAACCTGCAAGATTTGCTGCTAAAAGAAAAAGAAATAATAATAAAACTGGTAAACATTTTTGGCTTTATTCGACGACGAAACACCAAGGTTTCAACGCATGTAGGTTACCTATGAGTTACATGCCGCAGATAATTCCACTTTTAGAACAAATCCTTATAAGAATGACAACATGAAAGTTGAAATCAGACAAAACACATTAAGGAAATGCTTAAAAGTAAAATAATAATCCTACACAATGTAATAATACACAATGTAGTTTTGTGTCCTAAAAATTAATTTACCTCTCACAGATTATACTCGTATATCGCTTTTGATTGCACAAAGTTAAACAGCAAAGTATCTAGTATACCCCCCATTAATAATTGAAGAAAGTAATGGAAACATAAGCTTCTTCTAATACATCAGGGCTCTCGATTTAATATCTGGGTGCTTCCTTCAAAACATGAGGCCTGATGGCACACTGAAGACGGTATTTATTATTAAAATCTACTGTAAATCTACTGTAAATGTATTTTGGAATAATAAGAAAATCCACAGACAACATTAATGAATGTTCTAAAAACTTATTGCAATTTTTCTTGTTAATAGTGGACGTTAATGGCACTGTGGAGTTACTAAGTCCATCATTAGCTTTCATTCTGTCGCTATCAAGCAACAGAAAAGATCAAAAGAAAGTTTTTTTGAACAACATAAAAATGCTAAAAGACTATTCATTATGTAATTTTAAAATGACATTTGCTTGTCTTTCATTTTTAATATTTTTTTTCAGAAAACATTCATAATTAAAAGAAATATCTGCTTAATTATGTCATTTGAAAGCTTTGTTGTTTCATTTTCAGTCGTACTTCACTTGAAAGGATAATTGGTCACATAAATAGAATAAACTCTCATACATAACTCTAAAAAAGATTAGAAATAAAGATTAGCCAGCCTTAAATTAAATATATAGCAAAATATAAACCTAGAGGCAGAAAAATAGTCTGTAGCATACTAAGAAATAATTATAAATTACGCAAAATTCGTTGTCAGATAACGAATATTCTTTCCGTGTAGCTCTAAAGCCGACAGTGCATATACTCTTTCGCATTGTAGTAAAAGAGCAGAGGAAGGGCAGAATTCGCTTCGCTCGTGTATCATTGACTGTTGCGGTAATTTTTCCGCATACAATTGTCCCTTATAGTGGTGGATGGACGTAAAGAAAAAGGAAGTGGCAGCATACAGTTCGTTTCGTTTTGAATTTCTGATATTAAAAATCAATGATTCAATGCAGTGAAGGTACGTAATATGTTTTACTACATGAGTAAATGAGAAAATAATAATTGAGTTTTCCCATTGTTAAATTTATAAGCAGGACACAGTGGTGACACGGGAAAGGTGAAGCGACTTCAGACACCACTTTGAACATGTTGATGCAGCCAATGAACATTCAGCCGCCCAGACGATATTGTGGTTATGGAAGCCTACTGAGGTACCGAAGGGCCCGGGTTCGAATCCCGGAGAAGGCATGGATGTTTGTAAATGTATAGTGTCCGTGAGGCATGAGGGCACTCTAAATATTCGGCGAGCTGAAAGTCCACTCGAGAGATTGATGGCAGGGGAAAAGAGGTAGGAGACCACCCGGACATGTTCCTCCGGGGTGTTTGTTCTCCATCAAAACCGGAACTGAGCGAAGTCGTACTGTCACCTTATGGCGTTTAAGGATCTTGCCAACGACAGGCGCAATCTTGCTCTCCTTCCCGCGATGAATTTCGTGGGCTTGTTCTGATGTCTCTATCAGACAAGTGAGATATGTCACAACTACAAAAAGCCATCATTCATTAAATCTAGTTAATCTTTTGAGCTTTCTCATTGGCTAAAGGCATCATCGTTAAACATCATAACTTTCAGAAACACGTTTTCTCGCAGGAAATATTATTTTAATACAGTATGCAGACAACAATTGATTTTATGCCTACCAGTGAATATACAAAATCTATAGCCAGTTTAGCTTTTAATATTAGATTCTTTCTCCATAAATAAGTTCCAATGTTATTTCGATCATTTCATATTAATCTGCAAAACCTATAAATCTAGTTTCCGTTGCCAAATCTTTTTGCCTATTATTTTTCCCAATAATAAATGCTTTTCTAAGTTCCTAACTAAAACTATTATGTGCCAACTTGGCGCGAGAAAAACACTTCTATAAACTTGAAATGTAATACATAGACAAAGAGAACAGTCTTTCCTTTTACATTGGTGACATTGTACTCGTACCGCGTTTCAGATGTCTAAGTTTGATAATTATTACTTACGTATAAAATTGTTTCCGCGTACTCCTTATTTCACTTAACAGTTGTTGCGATATAGTCGCTATAGTTGCTTCAATTTGACGGAAGAAGTAATGTTCGCGTCTCTTATAAACTTTTTATATCTTTTTCCTCGAAAATCATATTTCTCACACTCCGGACGTCATCTATTAAGATCAACGTTTTCCCTTTACAGAGAGGCTGCATATACCTGATAAAACCGCACTCTAATACTCTTTGTTAAAACATAGACAATCCGATACCTGAAACGTTAAAAAAAATTTCTATGATCTGAGGGAAATTCGTGGAACATTTTTCCTTTTCGTGTACTACGGTAAAATATAACGTTCTGTTCGGGGAACATCGATTCTCTTCAGGTGGTAGTAACCTCTAGTTCCAAAAAGTATTAAATTTCTTAAATACTACTTCATGTCTCACAAATAATGATTTATAATAAACTGAAAATATCATTTCCCTCTTCTCCTTTGATTCTTGTATTTGTTTACGAGTATTCGCATTTTCTGCAGTTCTGTTCAGCCCAATCAACTAAATAAAGTATCTCCTCTTTAATGTGATACTCATGTATTATGGTATTCGCATGCATTTCAAAATACTCGAAAGGTTTCATTTAGCTAGATATTTTCAGCTCGTACCCACATTGTAAGAGCCATTTACTTATATTCATGAGTGTGTATTGAATTATTACTATAATAATCAAGATCTGTTAATAAAACATATCAGGACAGCAAGCACTTGCTTTAAGCATAATAATTTAATAAATAGAAAACATTGCTTTCATAAAGTCTGGTACCTTTCTGCATCCTTTGAGAAAGCAGTTTTTTTCATGGCTTTTACATAGCAAAAACTTTTGCGCAGCTCAATTTCAGTAATGTATAAATAAATTAGTATAAAACAGGAATTAAAATTCTCAATCAACTAAACCATGTAAGTGCTGAGACGATATATGCAAACCATGAGTATTCTGTTGTGTAAAATGGATTAAATACTCACAGCTTCCTTGCTTTCCTTCTCAAAGTAATGTTGCATATGATAAAAACTGAGGGTTGCTCCTAAGGGACCATCATTCAATCTCGAGATGCATTCCTTCCAACGTGGCTTCTCTGCAGTCGTTTTTGGGGTGTGCGCTTGAAGCATATGTCTCCAGTCTTTTGACAAAAATGGCAATGATGCTTGAACGACTCTCCACATGATGTAGTTGGCTACAACTCTGAAACGAAAATTGATACATATTTCATTTTGAAACTAAATCTATCCAATTTTGGTTTGTTTATTGCTTTTCATGCATATACCCCAGAACCTCATTTACTGTTCCAACATATCAAAAATAAAACCATGTTTTCTGCTTAAAATCTAGCAAATGAAACTCGAACGTAATGAAAAGAAATCTCGAACAAAAACGATCAAAAAGGCGAATATTTTTGTTCGGTTTCATTGCATTTCTCTAGTCATTTAAAATGTACTTCAAAAACTTTAATCACAACTTCATCATTTGAAACTTTCATACTAACTCCATACGTTTCATACTAACTCCACATACGCGTTATTTTATAAAGTATAGCCTATGGATGCATTTGCATATAAATGTTTCGTATCAATGGTACTATTCCCATAAACCTATACTATTTCTAAAAGTATATAACTTAGGTCCTCATCTGCTTAGCTATATTAGATTTACCAAACATAACAAACAACAAAAGACGAAACTCACTACTTGAGATCACTGATGAGAAACAATATGTAGTCTTTGTATTTGCTACTTTCAAAATACGTACGCGAAATGTTTTCATTTTATACCGTTCTATATCCCTATTCTCGAGCAGAGCTCGGTTGGTTTATGAGTCTGCCCTTTCTAAAAATGTTTAAAGTTTCATAAAATCCATAACAGTTCTTGAACAGTATATATGAAATTGAAATTCCCAAATTTGATGTTCTGCCAAAATATTATGTTCATTCCAAAACGAAGAAAAATTAACCAAAATATTACGGCTATCAAACTGAAGAAAATCTGTGTGATTGTTTAAGACATTTCATAAATATATATTATATTAGTAATAAGAGAATATATTTTTATTTTTATAGGTGCATTTATTTACGTTTCGAAAAACATCATTTAAGCCTGCATGGTTTTAATTGAAATAATAACATCATGTATAATCCGAATTATTATTTTTCTTAGCCAACGAATATTGTATTGCTTGAAAGTTTGAAATAACGCTTTTGATGACTGCACATTTCACTATAAATGAATTAAATAACTACTGATTTTCTCCTATGAGTTACTTCTATTACGATTATCAGGCGTACTTAGAACATAGTCTTCTACAATCTACGTCATTTGCCATATTTCTACAAATGAACTGAGAACTTACAATTTTGCTTGAATTTACTTGATAGTATGTGCAACTGATGCTGTGGGTAATTAAATGGCTCAAACGAACGAACAAAACTGCAATCATTTCAATACGCTAAAATTCTCAAAATAAAAAAAATCAAGAGCTTTCACAGAAATAACCACTCCTTAAACATATTCCTTATAAAGTTTGCAACAGGTTTAGCTTAGATTCAAACGTAAAGCTGATGAATATGCGTGCATGCTCATGAAATTTTATTTTTTAAATATCAAATAGAATAACCAAATCGTGAAATTGTGAGTTATTTTTTTATTTTCTTCTGCCTTATTTAAATTTAGCTAAATATCAAAGCAAAAAAAAAATAAAAAATAATAATAATAATAATAATAATTACAGTGTCGTTGTTGGATGGAGAACATGGACTGAAAATTTATAAAGAGAATGTAGGTAGGAAACAACAGATGTTAAAGATAAAATTGAAGTTTAATGTTCTTACGTATATTACAGGGATTTATATTTATTTTAAATAACGATTTAATTTAATTTTACGTACTAATATTTAAATTTAAATATGGAAGCCCGCGTGAAGTACCGAAAATTCTACCTCGAGAAGAAAGAATTACGATGTTTGAGATACAAAATTTCAGCTAAGGGTATCGAGACTGAGGATTCTAAAATAAAAGCAATAGAAAAGTATACTCGGTACTTACATATTATCGCAACCAGGTCAAAATTCGCATAAATTGCGAAATTTGGCGACCCTACTTACGGCAACCCTACGTGTTATACGTAGTTTTTGTAAAAAGAGCATGTGGAGATTCACAAAATTTTCCTGCATTTTCGTGCAAATTTTTGTAATTTATGAGAAAATAGCAGTGTACATGGATAAAGTGAAGAGTGTGCGCAGCCATTTTTGTGCAATTCTGGGATTTTTTTTAATAAAAATAAGTCGACGTGTACATGGTTATGGCGAACACGGTTTTTAATCAGTGCTAAAAGCAATAACCAAAAGATTTCCGCCGAAAAAATAATTCTGCAACTTATTCAAATTCGAAACCGGAAGGATTTAATTGCTATTTTATATTTTAAAACAAAATAATATAAAAAACTGTATTAAAAATTATCTGTAATTAATAAATGTACATTTTCTTTCTATTCATACTTTTTTACTCAAACTTACAAATAGCGTCAAAACTTACGAATAGCGTCAACCTGGTTGCGATAATATGTAAGTACCGTATACTCCGCCAAATACAGCAAAGAAACTGTCATCTTTTCTTTGCACGTACTCCTATTACCGTTCTTTTATCCAAAAATGTCGTCAATATTGCTGAACTCTTGTTTGGTTTTCGAAGAAATCAAATTTTGCGTGGACAGCGGAGATAAACACGGCTTTTTAACAATTAAAAACAGCTTTAATTAATGCACCGGTGTTAAAGTTTCCGGAGGGAGATGATAACCTGGAGATCGCAGCTGATGCTTGAGATTACGATGTGGGTGCAGCTTAATGCAAAAAAGCATCTCTTGGCACTTTTTAGTAAAACATTAAACACTACACAACGAAATTATAGAGCGACAGAACGAGAAACGTTAGTCGTGTGAATGGCAGTTCAGAAATTCAGTGTATATCTCGGAAAAGCCCCCGTTACTGTACTTTCAGACCAAGCGGCCGTAGGTAGACTATAATCTGAAAAGAATTTAACTCCCAGGTTAACAGGATGGGCCTTAAAGTTACAAGAGTACAACGTAATAATTAAGCGTACTCTCCGCAAGGAAAATACCGTGGCCGACGCGTTATCAAGATTTAAACTGGATGAAAATGGTGATCAAATAAAATGTGCTATGTTAACTTATAAAGTTTCAGATTCCCGGGAAACAATCATTTCTGTGTTGCTAAAGGATCCGGAATTCGGTAATATCTATGGTAATTTAAAGGATTCAGTTAATTTTGAACATCCAAACCTCTCCGCAATTAAAATTAGGACCCAAAATTACGAGATTATAGATAATTTGCTGTTCTACACTAGATCGACAAGTGAAAACCAAGAAATATAGACCAGTGATCCCAGCCATACTACGGCTAAGCATTTGGCAGGAACTGCAAATCTGAACCAACGGCTGGCCACTTAGGGCTTAGGAAAATGGTGCATAGGGTATACGTGGCGGTGTATTTTCCGCAAATAGTGACAGTGTATGTCAGGTCATGTAATTTATGTCAGTTAATTAACGATGTAAATTATAGCCCGGCCGGGTATGTAAATAGTATTCGCGCGATATTTTCTAAAGAAATTCTTGGAATGGACCTTCTTGGCCCTTTTCCCAAAATTGAGTTAAATAAAGTTTGATATCTTTTAGTGATTGCCGATTATTTTTCTAAATGGATAGAAATAATTTCATTTAAACGAGCGTCGTCTAAAATAGTTGAAGATGCGTTTTTTACATATGTATATTTTAAAATACAGTGCACCGTTAACAGTAATAAATGATAATAGTAAACATTTTCTTAGACAATTTTTTGAAATTTTGTGTAAAGGACTTGACATACAGCATATGAAAATGGTCCCGTACAGACCACATGCAAACATCGTAGAAAGAGTTAATAAAAACATCGTTAAAATAATTATAAGTTGTGTTAAAAATTATCATAAGCACCTGGCTGGTTGCATTGATGACCTAGGATCTACTTTAAGCTGCCAAGCGAGAAAACGCCCTCTGAATTATTTCTGGGCGAGTTTTATCACCATTGCATAAACTCTTTTTCGTCCAAGAACGAGAGCCTGAATTTAAGCAGCAGAGCATTCAAAAGATAATCGACGAAGCTTTGGAGAATTCGGATGTAGCAAACAGGCGGCAAAATTTATACTACAATAAAAAAACGCCGTGAAGCAGATTTTAAAGGGAGGATAAGGTGCTAAAAAGAAAATTCACTCTGTCTTGTGCACCAGAGAACCTTTGTAGCGAAATTCGTCCATGAGTCCATGTCGTCCTGTTATTTATATTATTTCAGATTCGGGTAAACGAATACGAATAAAGGCCAGTCGGGATCAATCAAAACAGTATTACGACCGTAGGGACTTTGATGTGTTGAATAGTTTCTTGCAGGCTTCTGAAACAGGAGTAGCAGCACCCTAAACGCCCATTTCTTCACCACCAGAAAAAAAAGAACGGACCAGACAAGGCCTCAAGACAAGCCGAAGGAGTCTTTGGAAAAGACAGCCCCGACGGATGGAAGGTGCAGCGAGGAAAACATTTAAGGGTGAAGGATCGTCCAGAAGAAAGATGCAGGCTAAGAACAAGGATGGCTGGGCCCTGACAAGGTCTTGCAGCAGATAACACCAGGATATGACAAGGAGGACGGGAAGGACTGTACAAACAAGACACCGGTGGATAAAATGAAGAAGAGAGTAGCCGAAGCTTAAGGCCCACAGCAAGGACCGAAGTAACCAAAATTTGGCAGGCAAGAGTCCTTGACCATCGACGCTCCAATAACCAGCGTTCCTGCCAGCAAACGGAAAAGACAGGAGACACCAACATTCAAGCCGAAAAGAAGGATGCTCAGAAGGGGAAAAAAGACAAGGCCATCTCCAACCAATTGAAAGAAAGCAGAGATTAAAAATCGCCAGTGTAAATAACATCACATGGAAGGACTTCTGCAATAAAAGGATGGGTAAAAGTATATTTTAGAGTAACGCTTGACAAAACTCGGTGATTTTTGGCAGTACGTGGATACCGAGTTTGTGCAATTCTTTGACTTGTTATTTCGACTTGCGTAGCGACGAGTTTTGCCTCAAAAGTCGCCGCTACTGCCAAAATAACAAGACAAAGAATTGCACAAACTCGGTATCCATGTACACAT